AATTTTTAAAAGATGAAAAGCTGCAGTACATGTGCTTATTTATTTAAAACAGAAAAAGGCAGTTTTGTATTTGATCCTTTCTTTTACTGGCAGTGTAGTTCTTTCAGAATTGGTGTTACATGAGGTGGTTGTTGGGGGTTTCTTTATCAATTTTGATACTTGATTATGGAGTACTTGTAACTGATAGTTTTTCGGCCACCGGATAAAATAGCATTACAGTATAATAATTTTGATAAAATCAGTGTCTTGCTGGTTACGTGTAATTCTACTCCACTTTTATTGTATGTTACTCTCTAGTGACACTTTTAATCTTTTGCATTTATGTGGCCTTTTGCGTCGTAAAATCTCGTATTAAAACTAAAACTACTAATTGGGCCTAATAATAAAGACTTACGCAACATTGTAACAGTCCTCGAGGTATTGTAAATACTACGTGCCTCTCAGCTTCCCAGCCAATTTATTTTTTAAAAGACGTAATAAACTAAGAAACTAACATAATTATTTAATTATTTCTCTTGTCTATTATCCAAAGGTTCACCCCTTCCCCTCTCCCCTGCCCTTTTTCTCTTTTCTGAAGACCCCCCCCCCCCCCCCCACACACACCCCCCACATTATCGAAATAGCCTACGGTAATTCAGCTAAAAAGAACACGGCTTTGGTTTCTGTACTATAGCCAAGGAGCTTAAAACAAGCTTACTGTAACCTCCTTGACAACAGTTAAGTAGTAGGATTTTATAAACGAAGAAAACCGAATGAAATTGTTGAAAGTATAGAAACAACTTTGTGACATAAACTAAGTTCTGTCAATAGTTGAAATTCCAAGATATAGGGGCCCATATTTACTGATACCTGGCACGTTAAAAAAGTAGTTTGTCTTATCAATTAAAGGATGGTTACTTATTGAAAAAATGATACAGTAATTGTTCTTTGCATCCTATTATGTGCTTATTACTTTTTAAAAAGCTGAGCGCTATCTTTTCCCTTGATCCCTAGCTCGGTGTAACTGAAAAAGGTGTAAAGCAAGGAGTTTTAATCTCCTTGGTGTAAAGCAATATTCCAATCCGGCATGACATATTCGTCCAATTGACAACTTCCGGTCCTAACTTTGTTTTTGTTATTATTCGCGTTGCATTGGTACCCTTTCAGGTACCTGTTGTCCTGAGCAAGAGCCTTCACGTGTTGATTTGCATCGAACACTCGTTACAATTTGAAGCATTTTAATGTATTTTTAACTCATATGTGTTCTGGAGAAGGGATATGTAGGTCAAGGATCCAGTTTGTTTTGGTAAACAGCTGGGATCCAAAATAAACAAGATGGCGACGAGCGATGGAAGTGTCTCAAGTTTGGAGTCCAGTCAAGTGAAAGAGACCAACATAGATGTCGAACGCCTTTACAGAACCTTTACCTATAAATGTCTGCAAGTAATTGTCCAATCTCGTATTGAGAAGAAAGAGAATGCAAGAGACAAAGTCCAGTATGAAAACTATGTAAGTTAAAAGGCCTCTTCCTCTCTGTTCTCTCCCAGTCCCAGTCATCTGTACACATGCCGTTAAACGTAGAAAAGACGCATCTTTCTGATTGGCTGCTAATTGTAGTACTGTGATGTCATCACTCCCTGGGATACCCACATGGGTATTTTTTTACTTTCCCTCCCGTCTCACACTCAGCTACCAATTGTCTATTTTCTACTAAATATTGATGCGCTGAACACGAATATCAACTTCATTTCCGTCGCAAATTAATAGTTTTTGAAATATTTGATTGTTTTTAACCGAGATAGACATGCTTTGGACCAATCGGGGGGGGGAGGTTCCAGGGTGAGAATAGTGCAGGCGAGTCTTTTGGCTATTTTCACCTGGTGCGCGTTCACCATTATATAGCCTAGATCTAGGCCAACCAATTTTGCGTTCACCCTAAACCACAGAATTCTACACCGTGATAACAGAAAAATTGTGGAATTCTGTGCCGTGAACAAACGTTCCGTTACTACTGTTAGCCTACTAAAAGCGTTCAATTTTGTCTGTGGGCAGGGGAGAGAGAGAGAGGAGTAGCGCGAGAAATTCCGGGCAAAACAAAATGGCGACCCGCGTAGTTCGGCTCGATTCGAAAAGTTAAAATAGGCTAGCCGTAGCATCTTTGTAGACCACCAAATTAATTTACTTTTGTGTTTTAACATCATTTTTTAACTTTGTTTTGGTCAATTTGATCGTCCACACCGATAGACAATATTCAGAAAGAGACAGAGAGAGAGAAGAGGGGAGGGGTAGATACTTGCGAGAACTTCCGGGCAAACAAAATGGCGAACCCCGTAGTTCGACTCGATTCGAAAAGTGAAATAACCATAGCATCTTTGTAGTAGATAAAATTAGCTTACTTTTGTGCTATAACGTAATCTTTTCTTTGCCCTTATTCATTTGATCATCCACATCGATAGAAAATATTCAGAAATTAGGAAAAAGAGGTCTTGTTTCACACCGGGTGAGAACAGTCTACGGTGGCAAGTCTCACCTGGGGTGAGAGGTCGATCGTATTTCTATTTTCACCCCGGGTGAGAATAGCCACTTCCAATATATTTAAAAAGAAAAAAAACAACAACTTCAAAGCAGCTCTACAAATAAGGCCTATAATTTATGTGACTGTTGGTCAGTCGGGAGGAGGAGAAGAGAAAAAAACAAAAAACTGTCCGGGACCGGGATTGAACCGCACCAAAAATCATTGCACGACTTCCGACGCAGACGCGCTGTCTATTCAGCCATCAGAACTTCCGAGAGAAAGGTGTAGATTAAGCACCATATACATGATAGACACTTCCATCTTTGGTGCCATGCGGTTGGCTATACTTCTAAGATGTAGTCACGTGATCGGAGGGGTATCCTGGTCTGACAAGATGGGCGCCTTACCTAAAAATAGTTTGCGTCGTTTCTACGTTTAATCGCATGTCATCTGTACCCCTACTACCAACCATAACCAAGGTCCAAGCTTACTAACACAAGTTTCTTTCCTGTCTATCCATTTTCCTATATTTACAAAGGTAGTGTCAGTTGCCACTGGGTGACGCGGTTGCAATTGACAATAATTGACAGCAGCATCAATTGCAACCAAGTAAATTGGAGCTCTTTTGCGTTGGTGAGTAGAAAGTAGATCTAGCCAGTCTATCCATGTGTGCTCGAGTGTTCGGCGCTCTGTGTACGTTCACCTCTGTGTGTGTGTGTGTGTCTAGCAATGCCCACTGAGCGCGTTTTGTTCTGCCGACTTTTGGCCCCCGCCGCGGGGGTGTTTCGTGGGATGCGCTAACACAAAGGTTGTTGTCTTCAACTCGCTCTCACGCCGCTTCTCGTGAATGGATATGAATGAAACTTGGCAGCCAATCAGAAAAGAGGTCAATCTTGTAGTATGCAGTTTGACAACTTTGTACCCATCCAAGAAGCAGTCGAAAACGTTTGCGAAAGTGGTTGATGTGGTGCGCTTGGAAGATTTTTCGGAGCTGTGATTTGTCAAACTGACTGATCCGTTGTACACCATTTTTCTATATTCCCTTAAAATTTCATGCTTCTGTGTTTAGCGGTTTTGATGTAATCTTTAAAAATGGGGTAACAAAGGGAAAAGCGGCATTGCCATTTGCGCGTGCTAGGTGAACGACCGGCGGCTGGGAAATTTCCTCTGAGTGACGTCATCAGCCATCGGTTGCCTCGGGCGCTACAAACGAGGCCCCGCTTATGTGAACCGGAAAGGGGTGGAAGGATACTTGAAAACTAAACGGGGGCCTTGATAACTTGCATTTTTGTTGCATTTTAGTCACAATACAATAGATGTAGTCATTTTTATTTGCTTGATTGCATGACAGAAGAATAGAAACAGAAAAGCAAACATCTTGAGAAGTGGTATGGCATTGTGTTTGCATTATGAAAGCCTATTCCCCCCTCTTGGGAAAGCACACACTTGGACTCGTCCTGTGTGCTCTGTTTGGAAAAGTGAGGCATTAAGATTGTTATTAAAGAGTATGGTACTTATTTAGTTCAGTCTGGGAAGATAGTCCCGTTTATACATTGTTATTGTTCACGCGTGAGTGCGCACGCGTGCATGTGTGTGTGTGTGTGCATGAGAGAGAGAGAGAGGGGGGGGGGGGGGGGTTTGTAAATATGTTACATTTATAGTATGAGTTGTAGCCTACACATGCAAAAATTTTAATATTCCCATGATTTGTAAACTATATTATCAAAACGCATCTTAATCTACCACACAATAGGACACTGTCCAACAATGGATATACACAGAGACGATCTTATTTTCTATTACAAAGTATGCATGCTTTTACTAGTAGAGAACTGGATTTATTGGACTAATACTTACATTTTTGTGACAAATTGATTCAGAGCATTGCTTGGCAAGGAGGAACCTTTTATGTTGCCAAGTTTCATTCAAATATCATTACTTTGGGAGAAGATATGACTGATAATCTTTGTAAATCTGTAAAGAACGCCATTTTTTTACCTGTTAATGTCTTAACAACTCAAAAAGTATGATAGATATTAAAAATCTGACAGCATGACTAGATTCTGCATTAAAAACTGTACTAGACTGCCAAGTTTCATTTACATACTCCAAAAAATAGGCGAGCTATATGACAAAATTGTCTCAAAACGCACCGAAAACCGCCTCATTTTTACCTATAAACGTCTTCATAACTCAAAAAATAGGATAGCTATGAAAAATCTGAAAGCAGGACTAGATTCTGCACTAGAAAATGTACTGGGTTGCCAAGTTTCATTTAAATACTCCAAGAAATGAGCGAGTTATGACCAATATTGTCTCAAAACTCACCAAAGAACGTCCCATATTTTGGGGTTTTTTTCATATAAAAGTGTACCAAAAATCAATTGATTAAAAAATTCGTAACTTTTTTGTTTATTGATGGATTTCAAAAATTCAAAAAGCTCCTTGCTGTGTAAAGATACAGCTACAAAATGCACATATTTGCTAACACTTTCTGACAAAACAAGGTTTTTCGTGGTCATTGCGCATGTGTTTTTTCCAAACCCCCGTCCCCCGGATTTGTGCTCCGTGTTATAAAATGAATTTCTGCTTGAGTTTGTGGGCGTAGATTCTACTTCTGGAATCGCCTGTGTGTTGGTTCTACACTCCGAAGTGTAGGCTAAGGCTAGCGTAGGCATACGTATCATTCAAAACACGCCAGGTTGGTAGCTCTTTGTTCATCCAATGACATTATAGAACAAATTGACCCCCTTGGACATGAGGAGCTCGAAAGGATAGTCCGGAAACAAAACTTCCATTTTTCTATACGAAATATTTTAAATGAGCTTGATGTTGTATGAAATGATACTACTTGATAAAAAATAAGCTTGTTTCATAATTATGAATACCATTGCGCAGGTAAAAAGAACAATTTAAGTGCAAAACATTCAGAAATTGGCCTATATTATCCCCTTTCGAACCCCATGTCATTCATAACAACAAGAGCGTCTAAAAAGGTTATTCAAATGGGCGTAACTACTCGTAATTTCCTATCAACTTATGAGAGGGGGTTATTCATGAAAATAAAGCGTTATTTTCGACATTGATTAACACACCCCCGCGGTATTCATGGTGAAAGCACACGTTTCCTGGCGCGCTCGCTGTACACTAACAGTACACACTGAGTGACCCCGGCTGCCTGCCCGTAATCGGTTGCTCATAAGATTCGCATCTCAGCACAGACGCAGGACAAGAGTTAAACTACTGGTAGGCTATTACACTGCGTTTCACGACTACAAAGGGATCAAAACATAAAATTCATAATCTGTCCTTATAAGATAATAAGATAGCGTCCCCCCTCCCCCCCTCTCTCCCGTTCTTTCTCTTACCTTTTCTCATCGTACTTCCCCAGGCCCGCCCCACCACCTTCACCCCTTTTTTTTTAGCATATATACAGTCGAACCTGTCTTAACGGAAACCTGTATATAACTGAAACCTGTCTTAACGGAATCTCCCCGCTTTCCCCGTGATGTATTCCTCTTTAATTACCTGTATAAAACGGAAACTTGTCCAACACGGAAACGGAAAGAAGAATCCGCTCCCTTCCGAGGGTTTCACTTGTCTAAGATGGAAAATGTTTTGCGCGCTCAGCCCTGATTTGAAACAAAACTCGCAAGTTTGGTTCTGCTGGCTCTAAACTTAATGCTATGGCCATGCCGCTGGACGAGGAAGGGGAGTATGGGTGCAGTTTGGGGGTAGATGTTACCCATCATGTGAGCCCTGCGCGATGCAGATGGTCAGTGTAGTGTGGATGTGAAATCTCACGACTGCCTGTGGGAGTGCTCGAGTAGCGAGCTATGTCGGAAACTTTCCTGGGTAGCCAGAAGCCAGAGGTGTGAAATTAGATTGACCAATGCCTGCCGCCCTGATCGTGCGGCCAGCCGAGAAAAGAGTTCCTCGAATCGTTGTTACAATGATGGCAGTGAGAGGTGGCATTGGTGGATGGGGTAAGGGTGGAAGCAAAAGAGATGTTTAAACGTTTCTGTTTTTAATACGGTAGGTCAAACTGTGGTCCTATGAAAGGCAAGCACCGGTGGTAATTGGATAAGTAAGACTGGCGCATGTCATTATCAGACAGGATAGCAATTGAGAGGTGTTAAGTTTTGACCACTGCTTGCCGATCGGACAAACGATCCTTGATCCCACCGGCTGTGCCTTTGAACCCCCCCAACCTCCATCTCCCCCTAAATTCCCCTGTCTAAGACAAAAATTTTTTCTGGCTCCCTTGTGATTTCGTCTTACACAGGTTCGACTGTAGATCTATATTTTCTCCCATACCGTTGCCCACTGCCTGGCCATACTATTATATTATCCTTTGTTAAGAAAGGACCACAGTTCGCACTGGGTCACCACGGTCAGTGCCCATTTGTTGTAAGTTCATTGGCCAGATCGTAGAAACCGAGGAAGGCCAACGTCGAATTGCTTGTCTGCTTCACACCCGGTACACCAAGTGATTGCTCGTGCACTTTGGAGTTTGAGCCGAATAGCCATGGCCCTACATTTTTGTCATATATTTATCCTAAATCCTTATGTGTTGTTGTATAATTGAGAGTTCATCGTTTTCCCTCAAACTGGCGAGCTCTGAGCCAGAGCTCAGTGTAAGGGAAAACGACGAATGGTCGATCAGGCGAGGATCACTGCTTCGTTTTCCTTCATCTCATGGGATGGAACGCTTGAAGCTGGCCTAAATATTAAATATACGTCACTGATGTCACTGACTAAAACCGGCTGTGGACTCTCCGTCCAAACGAAGCCTGAATACTGTGGATGTAGCCTCAACAGCACCTGCTAACTGCGTTCACAGCGCTGTGAATGTTGCCACTGCGAATTTTAAATTGGAAAGTGGCTATATTTATTATGTCTCACCCGGAGTGAGAATAGCCTGCTGTCTCGCTATTCTCACCTCCCTCAGGTGTGCTATATAAATGTATACTAACTTTTGAAAAGCTGATGAATGTTTGTGATATTATAAACAAAAGTCATTCTTTCATGCAGATGTTATGAATTTTAGAGAAAACTGGGATGAAGGCCTTCTTGTAAAAGTTTAACAGTTTCAGTTTAGTAGACTGTGAGTTTGAATTCAGTGATATATATATATATATACTTTATGTGTTATTTATTAGCAATAAATATTGAATGCTACCTTCCTTTTAAAAACGTTTCGAATCGAGCACAGAATAAATGAAAAGAGTTAAAGAGGGGATGGAAATATGACATGCATGTGATAGTGGACAAAGGTTGTCATGTGATGGTGGGCAAAAGCCTGTTTTTGGTCAATTTCCCAGTTCTTTCAGTTTGAGATGGCATATTTGTTAGCAATTGTTCTGATTTATTTTTTATCATTCCCTCTTTTTCTGTTATGAAATAATTCCTTTACCTGAAATATGAGTGTACTTATTGGGCACATGATTCCGGAAAAATCATACTCAAAAATAATTTTTTTTTTGTTTGACTTGTGATTTTTTCCCTCTCAAGAGTTTGACTGCTAAGTTAATAACCTTATTATTTGAGTCTGTGTCAGAACTTGAACATTTTACTACATGTGATGCAGCTTGTTTTATCTATGATCAATTCTAATTTTTATTTGTATGGTATTTTGTTATATTTCCGTTTCTCAATGACATTCTCATAAACATATTGATCAAATTTGATGACTATTGTCTTACTCTGGGTAATGATTATATTTTAATGATTTATTCTTTACAGTTCAGTCTTACACTTCCTGATGATCCAAAACTGGAAGAACAAATAAAGAAAGCTCTAGATGGAGCCAGGCCATTCCCAGTGAAGGATCAGAGTGTCTGTGTCGAGATTCCACTTGTGACAAGCGACGGAGACCACATGTTTCTAGAAACATGGGATCTGACTTTCAATTTGAGTAGTTTGGACATTGCTGTGAACAAGCCTCAACACATATACACAAAAATGGGTGTGTATATATATAAATATATGTTTGTATTATGTCCATATCAAAGCCTTTCAGGGTAAGATATAACGATCAATTCTTGCTCTGTAGTTTATTATATAATTTTTGTTGCTGGTAGTGGTGCACTTACCTATTGAACAAATTGAATGTGGACTGAGCATGAGAAAGACGAATGGGATCAAAGCTTGTGAAACCTTCATCAACCTTGTGTCTTACTTGTGTCTGATCAAAATCACACAGGGGTTAAATTCCTAGATCATATAAGGAATAGGGTTGATGTATTGTCATTTCATCGATAGGTTAATCTTATGTGGGTTTTATTGAAATGTTTTTTGTTTTTTTCTTCTGTGAACATTGAAAGCCTTTGGGCTGGAGATTAAAAAAATTTGTTTTATTTTTTCTATGATCAGGAATTACCCTGAAATCTCTAGTCTGTGCGACAAGAGCCACTCCTGCCTACAGACTTGCGAAGAACCAGGGAGAAAAAGGCGGAGGATACAAGCTGAATTATCGTATCTATCTTGGGAAACCTCAGGTAATTGATGTGAAACAAGGAGATATTTTCAAGTGTCTTATGAACACAATCATATTCAAAATTAGTGGCTAGATTACTCCTCATGGGCTCCGTGTAGCTAAGGTCTGGCTACACCAATGTATTAGTTGTCCTATTTTTTAACTAAAATTATTGACGGAGTGTTCATTGTGGTAAAAAATTTACTGTGTACTGAACAGATGGCAGTACTAAACGTGTACTGTATGAGGTTTTGCTTACTATGCCCCTGAACAATAGTTTGAATTTCAGTCAAATCTGCTGTATTGTCGACCTGTCCAAGATAGTTACCAGTAAATGTGACCACACTTCCTATGACCCTCCCTTGCCCCCTTGGGTGTTTTTCTATTACAATGATGCTGTCCAAGAAACTGGTCTAAGATGACCACTGTTCTCCTCGAGGACAATGGGTGGTCGTTTTGGACAGGTTTGACTGTATGCATTTTAAAAGTTTAAAACCCCCCAACTTTTTAGTTGTTGTGTAATTGATTTGGTGGTGGGCTGGCCGTAACCCTTTGGTTCCAATGCTATGAAGTGACCTAAACAAATTCTTGTCAATTGTTGAGTAGTTGTAAAGACTGTATGTAAACCATTTTTTTGTCTTGTTTTTGCTTATTAAATAGAGAATAAATTATTGTGCGCCATATAAATGTGATAGAAAAGCATTGCTTCATTTACAGTGTATAGTAGTTTCAGTGGAACATTTAAGCCTTCCTTTCTTTTTTAAATATTTTTTTTTAGTGATATACCAATGACACTCAGTTATACTATAAACGGATAAATTGTTGCGTTCACTGTTCAGATGTGACACAGGAATAACTTACAATTCGGCCTTTGAGAGGGTCTTCTTTAGACCTATCGCTAGGTTTTCAGAGAGTTTGCCTAGTTTGTTGCTTTTGTCAGTAACTATTTATTGCAGGTATGTAGATGTTTTGACAATAAAACCATTTTCTATTTTCTTTTCATCATACCCATTTATTTTCTGTTGATCTTAAATAACAGACTCACAATCTTGGAGAAGGTTTTAAAACCTACAGAGCTGGGGCTGTGCCATCTGCTCACGGCCTGCTGGCCATCAACGTTGCATTCCGCACTCGCTTACTGATCTCCCCTGAAATGTCATCTTCACAAACGGCTACCATCGAGATGAGGGACAATCACTTTGACCAAGAAAGCCCCGTCAAAAATGCTGTATTGACACCATCGAAACCTCAGCCGTGTTCTCCACCTCAAAGAAGGTAATGTTATTCTCATTTCATTTTTTTTAAAAATCTGGAGAGACAGTTTATGTCTAATAATAAAGATACTTCCCTTCTCTTTGTTTGCTTTGGTGTGTTTCAGAATGTGTGATAGGTGTCTGGAATTGATACGGTTTTATAAGTAATTATGTCTTTTTTAATGCTTAGCAAATGTACAGTTTGATACTGAAGATGCTCTTTCAAATCTCATGAGACGTTTGTGAGGCATGCTAACAAAATTGAGTTACTTTTTGGTTTTTGCCCCCATTACACAGATATGTCAAATGTATCTGCTTAGTTTGAACAAATTATTAGTAAGAAATAATAAAAGATATGATAAACTTAGAGAAGATGGCATCAGTTGAAATTGTACACATTTGACCCTTTTTGTCAAATTTTGGGAAATATCCTATTGCTGGATTCCAAGACACAACTTTTGTCAGCACACCCCAACATTTGTCTTTGTGGCATACAAAAAAATGAATAACCGGCGTATGTGGTGTAGCAGTTTGGCGCTTCACGGTCGCATTCAGGAGACCCGAGTTAGATTCCTGAGTTGGGAGATCCCTCTCAGCCGGGTTTGCAGAGTGGAAAGCCTGCCTCTTAGTCTTATACCCAGTGCCCATTGGGGGATTAGTTCTCTTATACTAACTGATTGGCCGACTCATGGCCTTGAAAACAAGCGCCTTCTTTTTGAAAACCACGAGTGGGGCGATCGGTTTGTGCCCCAATCTGGCTAGCCCCACCTACCAAACCAAACCAAACCAAACTGAACTGATCATGCCAATGGGCGCTAGGTTAAAAATGATATAAATTTTGTTGATGTGAGCGTAAAAAACACCCACATTTATTGTCTTTTAGAAATGAGTTTTTTTCTTAATCAAGTTACTAGTATAGGATCCAAATTTAAACTATTGACGGTATTCTTTAGCAGACCTGCCTGTTTTGTTCAAAGGAGTGGAAATATTTGACACTGTCCTCCTTTGACTTCACAGCCCGGAGACTCGGTCTGAAAGTCCTTACTGTTTTGCCGTGTCACCGACATCTGCTGAGCAGGATGAGGAATATTTACGAGCTCGCTTGTCATCTGAGACTGATCGCTGGGCGCAGTCTGGGTGAGCACAGCCAAGCATGTCGAACTTGAGCACTAGATTTCTCAAAAACTTAGACTGTTTGGCATGATTGCTCCGTTTCTGATTTTTTTTTCTTTTTCTTTTCAATACACTCTTTGTATTCACTTCCTTGAGCAAGATACAGATGACTTGTGTCAAATTTTTATATTTTAAAAAATTTAATTTTTTTTGCTTTAGAGGTGAACAAATGAATTGTGCATAATGCCAGTACTTTGGCTAAGCTTTTCATTTTTAGCGAACCCTTTGGAAAAATCATGCTTGCTTCCTGTAAACAACATCGCTGATGTGAGCCACTGCAGTGCACAACTGTAACTGTCCTCTCCACTGTCTTTTATTTATCATTTTTAGGCTTCCTAAATACCCATTGAAATCAGCTCACAAATATTTGTAACGTTGTTCATTTTGGATGTGGATGATCTGCTTGGCTTTTGTCCTGCTTCCAATTTTTCCATGTGGAAGATAGGGGGCAGGGGGAATTATAATAATTTTCATCAGTTGACTGGAGTCAACTCTTTAAAAAAAAAGTCTACAGTGCTGGTTTCTGAATACAGTTTGATAAAGATATTGTCCCCTTCTTCGCTAATGCGAGGCTTTGCCACTTGCTCAAAAGCTATCAGTGGATTAGTCATTTTTACTATTTCAAAGTCATCTTCTTCTAGTTATTTGCTTTCCAATCAACACAGAACTGCCCAGCTTTTATGCGCCCTGCTTTATGTGTCTCTTGTTGCATGGTTTTTTTTTCTTTGGTGCTTTGCTGTTGCTGCTTTCTGGGCTAAGTTTTTTTTTTTTTTCTTCAGTACGCTTTCTTGAACAAGCTTCCAGGCCTCTTTTACAGCAATGCCCATGCTACTGGCTTCTCCATCTAGAGAGAATAAAAAGAACACAAATAGAAAATAAACTACGGTGTGAAAGATCGTAATATGCTGATAATTATTGTTGAAAACATTAGTGAAAACAAATGAAGAATAAATTCTTCTTTATTTCTGTCGTTACACAGGTGGTTCCATTTTCGTAGATATGTTAAATCTAAAGGACAAATACATAATATCGAAAAGTAAAATTTGTAAATGTTCATTGTTGTATGGAACAATGAAAATGCATGTCTTCTTGGACTATGTTAATCATAATATTACGTGTACGTTAAAGCTACGATTTTCATTGATTAAAAAAATATTGACTTTGGACTTTCGTTGGATTGCTCTGTTCAAAACATGATTTTTCTTTTTTCAATTGAGATGTTTAGACAGTGCACTCATGCACACTCATATTGGGTCTTGCAAACTCTCTCTCTCTCTCTCTCTCTCTCTCTCTCTCTCTCTCTCTCTCTCTCTCTCTCTCTCTCTCTCTCTCTCTCTCTCTCTCTCACTCTCTCCTCTCTCTCTGCCTCCCCATCCCTGTGCCTCTTAGTCTCTTAAGCCTTTAACATAATAAGACCACAGACTTGTGTGCACAAAGTACGTCAGAGAATCATTGGGACTTTGTTTCATCTCCAGTGTGTTCAACATGGAAGAGCTTCCTGAGCCTGTGATAGGGGCCTTCTCTAATCGACACTTAGGCTCACGTCATCAGGTGCAGCCCTCGGAGCTGTACGAAGGGCTCATGAAAAGAAGCCTGATGATGCAGCAGGCTCAACAGATGGCAGCCGCGGCTCGACATAAGGACGCAGATGGGGAGAGTGACGTAGACGGGCACAGGGAAGACAGAAAGGTTCCGGAGTGCAAAGCTGAGGAGGAGAAAGAGAACATTCCTTCCCAGGAGATGAGGAGTGTACGCAGCAAGGAGAACGTGACCATGGAGGATGATTTTATTATGGTAGACGTGAGTTTTTTCACAGGGTATTTTTGTTAGGAGACCGAGGGAAATGTATGGTTTGGGAAATTCAGACTTATATTGCATCGAGTTGGTCTCAGACAGGTATATTGTAGTGAGCTAAGAGATTAGGACTAATGATACACATGGCTGTATATTTTTATATTTAGAGTGGGAAGTTAGTATATGACTTGACTAATGCTCTTTCTATTTTCAAGATGTGTTGTGGTGGGCTATTGAATGTTTGCTGTGTTATGTCCGCCAGAGGATAGGATTTGATCACCAATACAATATGTTCATCATCCCACTGTTCTGCTGATGTCGTGTTATTGTCTGCATTCGCCTTCCATTACGTAGTGTCTGTTGTCTTAACAGGATCCTTATTAACTGCAGTTCAGTTCAGGACACCCCCTGGGGCGGTGCTACTGATTGAAGTGTCTTTAGGCCATTCTCAAAGGGAGGACATTAATCTGTTCTTATTCACAGAAGAATTGTAAATGGGTTGATTCATGGATGTCATGCTCATAACTGTGCCTGAACTGCAACAGGGAACTGCTGCTTTTTCCGTCCTAATCCTTACTGTCGTCATTTTTCCTCTACTTCTTTTGTGTGTTTGTCACACTCTTATGATCCGTTATTTCCGGGTTGACTTGATAGTTGAAGCAGACTTTGTGCTGTTGAAGCTAGAAAGGTTAGCAGAGTAAGTCTGATTCCCTGTAAGGACTTCCCTGTAGACATCCACCCCTTGGTGCTCATATGACCTTACGCAGTTGTGTCATAAAACCTCTACTAAAACAAACAAAACAAGCTGTTCAGGATTTCAGGTGTGTGTACTCACTTGTTTTTCTCCAAACTGGTTCCTGCCATTGTTTTTTCTACTGATGTAGAGAAAGTGTTAGAAGGTGTAAATGTTGCTTGTGCAGTCGCTTATTTTTGAAGGAGGGGAAATACATTAGATTGGTTTTATTTGTATCTCTTTTGACCGAACATTTATGTCACGGCGCGGTGGAATCAGCATTCATCAGTTTTGGGGCATATATGGAGTTGTTTGTATCATCTTAAAATTTGTTCATTTGTCTTGCCTTTGGTGAAAAAATATACCCGTCTGTCTTGAGTAGAAGTCGAGATATTTACGATTGAAAGAGGTACGAGTGGCCTGGTGTGAAAAGTAAAACTTGCCACCAAAGTTTGGTGACTTCCAATGCTTTAGTGTCCTTAGAAACTGGAAATTTACATTTTTTGTACCTCCTTTGATCAATGTTATTTCAGTAAAATCCACACAGAAGTATGTTATTAAATGGACATGAAAGGTATTCAGCCAAAATAGATACTTAAAAATAAAATTAAATTGCCCAACAGTTAGAAAAAAATGCAGTTTTCTTTGATTTCATTATTTTGACGTGTGCCTGATTTCACCATGCTGCCTCACATTTTATCTTGCCTGTACAAAAGTGAATGGAAACCCCCTCAGTCGTGAAAGGGTTAGTACAGTTGAACCTGTCTTTAGCCATCATCGAGGAGAAAAGTTGTCGTGTTAGACAGATGGTCCTCTTGGACAGTGTCATTTTAACAATTTCCCTACCACGAGCCGCATTTTGCGGCTCGCAGACCTGGCCTCGCTGTTGCAAGAGCCGCATAATACGGCACAAGTGGTTCGCTATCTATTCCAATCCAGTAATGAAAAGATGCAAAGTTCTCGGCCGATCCACGTTTTCACAATAATAGAATAGACTTCCTGTTAGCAGATACGAAAGAAAACATAGCACTGAGAGACGGTTTTTAGTCATTTCAGCACTTTTTTTGTCCCCTTCGAAACGTAAATATGAGAGGAAAAAAGCGCTACTCTGACTTCAGTATACTATATGTCTCATATTTTCACTTTTATATTAGGTACACATATATAACCTTCAGCATTTCTTTGCATTACTTGAGGCAACCTACTTGAGGAGTTTGAATGATGCTGTTGTTGTACTTTTTTAGATATGACCTTTCAAAGCTGCAAAATTGTTGATTTCATATGACACCTCCGATATTGCATAATCACTTTTAGAAACTCCAAAGTAATATAATTGGAATAAATCTTCAATATTGTATCGCCATCTGATAGATTATTTTTTAACCTTCAGTTTAATGGGCCATAAGATATGGTTTGTGTGTGTTTAGTTGGATGTTTTGGCATTTTTCTTTGGCGGGGTAGGGGTGTAAAAATAGGTCAGGGAAAAGCCCTGGGCCAGTGGTGGATTTTGGCCTGGTAGGAAATGAGCTAATAAGTATTGGGGGGGGGGGGGGGGGGTTGTTGTTTGTACATATGATTGACTTAGGCAGGTGGCCATTAGGGCAGGTTTGCCATCACATTGCAATTATAATAGCTGGTCCGTCAATGTCTGATGGTGACTAATACATCCGCAGGGGGAGAATATTTCTCCAGCGAAACGGAAGAATTTGAAGAATTAAAAGTTGCGATGACTTGTAGCTTTTGCTGTGGCCAATGAGACTAATTCTGGCTGAGAAAAGTTTACCACACTTTGAACATATTGACGGGGTTGAATATTGCTCATATAATGCTCCTTATGTTGTAATTGATATTTGTTTCTATTTTTTTTACAATTTGAAAAATCAGTGGAGACAAAGTCTATTGGTCAAATGCCAAGTGGTCTTTCTTGTTTCCCGTTTGATCCATTGCTTTATCCTGATCAAATATATCCTTTTCATTACAAACAATAAGCTGTCTGTCATTAATATTATGAAGTTCATGTGGGTGGTTGGCAGGTGCTCTGGTGTGGTTTGCTCCTTCTTTCCTATCAAACATCTATCGTCTTGATCTCTCCTCCTTCTTTCTTGTGTTTGTTACTCTCTTGTAACACCTCTAATCTTCGGCCCTTATATGACCTTATTATTGTTTTGCAAGTGCTGTAAAACTCTTACTAAAACTGAATATCATGTTTATTTCTATCAAACAGAAACCCCCGTTTGCTGCAGATGACGACCCAAGTGACGTGAAGGGCTTTTTGGGATTAATTTTCCGAGCCCCAAGTTTGTTTGAAGCTCAGGAATGCAAAGTGACAGTTGATGATTACCTCAGTGATGTCGGAGAACTTGTGATGAAGTCGGAGGAGGACATGCCTGTGTTGGATGAGTTCTGTCAGTCGGTTATAAACTTGAACAGCAGTGAGGAGGACGAACTGGCAGAGAACTCGGTGTTCAGCTGATGGTCAGAGAATGCTGATTGGTGCATGGGTGGTTAAGAGTTCCCTGAATGAAAGCAGTGTGTGAGAAGTGCAGTGCGTTGGTCCATGAGTGGTTAAAAGTGTGCTGAATGAAAATAGTGATAGGGAAATGGTGTTCGACACGAGAAACAAACACTGTTTTGATACATGAGTGGTTAGGAGTGTGCTAAATGAAAGCAGTATAGTGTATCAGTCTGTGAGTGTGCTGAATGACAATAGTGTACGGGAAACCAATACCGTTTTGATGCATGAGTGATTAAGAGTGTGCTGAATGAAAATAGTTGTAAGGGAAGTACAGTCTGTTGTCAGTTTTAAGTTTTGAACCTCATGTTTACATGCTCTCTTGGAGTTGATCAGCATCTGTGATGTAGTAGAGGGGCTCTTTGTTGTTGTATACAAAAGTCGCAAATTTAGTTCCTGAGTGGGGAAGTTTTGTTTTTAAATATCTCTGTCTGTGTACGTGGCTGTGTTGGCCTTGAAGGGCAGGGTTGGTGTGGCCCACCTCCTGAATGATCAAAATTTTACTGGTGGGGGGAGGGGGGAGTGGGATTAAATAATCTGCTAACCCCCACCTACAGGAGATGGGACTGTCCTGGCAGGGAGAGTTCCATTCTCAGGCAGCATCGTCTCTGATAGAGGGTTGCCATCTCGCTACTTTAGAATTACCAAGTTCTGACATTTTTGGCCATTTGAGTTGCTAAGACCACGAGGTCAGAAATCAAATGCTCTGTGTGCTCTATCAAAATCGAAAGATTGTTCGGAGTCGTCATTAGTATATTCAAAGAATTACATTCGAAAAAGCTTGGACATGTTGTGAAGCTCAAAATTTTTTAATGTCAGGCTTCTCAAAATTAGGTACCGAGCAGAAAGAACTTTGTAATTTTGAGGTAGCGTTTTGTTATTTGTACTTACTTTTACTTCAGTGCTTTTCTTTAGTGTGAGGGTCTGGCCTAGCTACATATAAGTCTCCCGTCACATGTCAGATTTCGAAATGGCGCATGGTGGAGTTGTACAAGGAGCAGTTGATTTGAAGTTTCACTCTGTGGGGGGGCCCACCTTTGAAGTGGTAGACTTTTAGTGTTAAAAATTGAGGGGGGCATGCTCGTATGACCTTACGCAGTTGCGAGCGCCATAAAACAAGAACAATTTTGGGGGGGTGGGGGGGGGGGGATAAATACATGGATTAAAACTCCATTGGAACATGTTCACATGTGGTTTTACACTTTCTCTTGTCATGCTCAAGTGACTTTTCAGAGTCTCTAAACTTTTGGCTTTCAGCCTTATGAAGGATTACCATTCAAGTATTTATGGTGAAAGAACGATTTTTACTTCATATGAAAAAAAAAAAAAAATATAGATCTCATATATGTCAGCTATGATGAAGCAGATTATATCTCTTTTTATATATATATTCTTTTTTTTTCATTCTTGGGAAGAAGTCATCTTGTAGACTGTTTAGAAATCTCTTTTAGCAAAGGAATTTCTCCTTTTAAAAAAAAGGGTGTTTCGTGAAAATGAAAGGATAAACATTTTAACGGAGAGTACTTTGTAAGTGATTTCAGGTAGAAAGTGATTGTTGTGTTTGAAGATTTTAGAGTGGTATATGTACTGTCTCAAATCTTGTTTCCTGGCCACTTTTTTCTTCTCATGATTTTAAACGCTGAGCTTTAAATTTTTCTGTTAAGTAAACGTTCTTTTCTCTTACGGGTATTTTCTTTTGTCAATATATGCCTTTGGATTTTGTTGTGTGAAAAAAGCTTTGAAATCTTTTTTTTTTTTTGGTCAAAACTTTGTGTTGAGGATGTTTGATGCACATTGAATGAAAGTTTTTCTTGTGTTCGTGGATCGAAGGATGATGAAGAGACGTTTTTTTTTCTTTTATCCGTTCAATCTGATGCATTCCAAGTTTTGGCAACTTCATTCTTGTTTCTTTTTAAATGATTTGCTGTGAGAGTTTGTCATGCCAAGGGAAAACATTTTTAAAATAATGTGAGTGGTCTTAATGAGCAGCATTTTTTCTCCTCACTGCCTTGTTTTGATAGAATCTCTAGGGCCGTTGCCAGGACTAAGTAACTCTAGGAGCAGGCCTGACAGTGAAGAGTTTTTGGTATCCAAAATGCCACCTGGTCTGTCTCAGTCATTAATTAATGACAGTTTGATTCACTGAAAATATAGGATTTTAGTTGTTGCTTAAAGAGTCGAGTTTACTGTGCTGATATTAGATTTAAATGGGAGCAGTTATTTTTTTAATAGAGAGGAGGCTTGAATGATAACTTTCATTACATTTTTTTAACATTTCAAATGTGGGACTTTTTAGTTTACTTATCTGTTGTTTGAGTGTGATTTTGACTGACTACTATTCAAGTTGCTTGTTAATGTTCCCTTTCCCTTTGAAGTTCCCTGTGACATCAGTGTCATCATCTTTTCAAGTGTCTGTTCACTTGACGGTAAGAATGTTTTCTCTTTCCGGAACTGATTTGTTTGCCGAAAATCTTTTTAAGCTTATACTCACGACATGTTCACCATAAAGTTGCTGCCGTCCCTTGCACTACTGTCCACACATATCATGGAGAGAACAACATCTTGTCAAGGTCTTTGCACCTTGATCCTGGGATTTGAGCCAGTTGCTTATTGTCTGCAAGCCGGAGTAACTTGCAAAAAAAAGTGTTATATAGTGTTTGTTTAGTCTGATGTGGGTAAAAATTGATGGTGAGTGGTTCGTGTGTGCTCTATTGTGGTTTACCCCTTCTTTCAGAACTTTCTCATCAAACGTCTATCTTCCTTATCTCTTCTGCTTCTGTTTTTTTGTGTTTGTTCCTCTCTTGTAGCACTTGTAATCTTTGGCATTTATATGACCTGGTTGTGTTGCAAGTGCCGTAAAACTCTTACTAAAACATTTTAAAAGTTGGTGGTGTCTGCTGTGCATTTCAAGCTGCACTCCTTGAGATCACAAGTTTGTGTGCGGATGAAAAAAATGCATACTGTGAGCGCTGAAAGTTCCTGTCTTCTGTCAGTGTTGGCTTGTGTGTAAAGTACTTTACTTTTTTTTTAAAACCTTTTTCAACTTTCTCATAAGCAGAACAGTGCCTATACTAATCCGCATCACATTGACTTGATAAGCCAGTTACTGAAATGCTTTTTTATATGTCTGTTGGAAGATCATATAATGGAAGTAAGAAGTAGGGTATTAATGCTTGCAGCGATGTCATATTTTTAGATTTTGGTAAAGTGGACAAGTTACACTGCTGTTTGTCTTGGAAGCTTGTTTCAAGTAATGTCATTTCATCTCTCATGCTCATGAGTTGTCTGAAGTCCCACTGTGTACTCGACATTATATAGGATGATAACATTTTGAGCCCTCACATCATATCGCACATCGAAGGAGTGAATAGTTATGATGAAAGTTGAAAGCATATGGTTCTTTGATTTTGATGTTTTGGGGCAAAAGTGTCTTTGGTCTTTTAATGTATATTAATATGTCTGTATCAATACAGTTAAAGCAACACACCCATAACTTAATGAAAATGTTGAGTGTTTACATCACATGCTAGTTCATGGGATGTTCCTCGTGAAGCTTTAGTGCTGTTAATCTATAAGTTGGACTCAAGGGAGTAAAGAGTCCTACAGGCTCCAAAGGTTAGATGCTGTAGGTTTTGATATTGATACAAAAAACGTTTTGTTCTGCTTAAATATAAGGGATGTGTCTTCATGTATGTCAGTGCTACGGAAAATCAACAGAAAAGTCAGTTGTGAGATAATTTTGATATCATATGTTTACGCTTCTGTATATAAATAATGCTTCCATTTTTATGATGCACAAAGCAATTTTGTAAATTTTTGTACAGAAACTTGTAATGCTTTCCATTGTCATACTTTGTCAGATTGTGACTGTCATTATTAGTTTCCTATTCCTCTATGTGGTAATAGTTAATGGCCCGTGTGGAAACTGTGAGGTTGTCAACTGTTGCATATAGTCTAATGAATGGTTTATGTCAGGACAAAATACTATCTTGTGTAAACTGAAAAGAAAGGAAAAAGATATTACTTTGCAACGAAGCCCATATTGATGACGTTATCGTTATAAAAGAGACCCTTCGTGCTGATGAGTATTTGTGTATGTTCGGAAATTTTGTCTGCGGATACTTTGTGAATTCATATGAAAGTTTGGACTACAAGAAAATGTGACATTGATTTGGTCTTTTTGATTCCAGGGAACATAAATTGCATCTAGTGAACAGACATTCATATACAGCACAAGTTCTAACCATCATTATTTTAAATATGTATTTCTATGATCAGATTTCACGATGTGTCTGACCAACAATGTGTTGCAGTGTTACACCTATCATATTATGAACTACAACGGTGGCACTTGTGTTTGAATTTTTAGCCCGGGTGGAGTCTGAATTGATTGAACTTTTTTCATTTTATCCATTCTGAATTTTTTTTGTCAGAACCAGATAGGGGCATATGCTCCCTTTTTGATGTGGCACATATTGTAATAAGCAATAGGATGTTAGAATTCCAGCAGCAGTGGTCAAAAAAGGAAATAAAAGACTAGCTGTGTTATCTCCAACTCCCAGCACTGACAAAAAAAAAAAGGGTTAAAAAAAAAAGATCCAACTTCCAGCAATAAAACAAAAAGGAGGAGTTTTGTTATCCCCCCTTGGTCTGCATCTGTTTGAATATGTTTTGTTTTTTCTTTTCATATAACCCATTGCACCTTAGAGTAAACTTCTATACTATTTAAAAACTCGATTCTTTAGTAATTGTTATTTATGTCACTTTGCCATGCGGTATATCATGTTCGAGGTGATCAAGATTTTAACCCTTTCACTAGTCTAGAGACTGATTGAAAAAAAAAATCTTTCCAAAGTCTCATTATTTGGCTTGTTGAGATGCATCTACTTGTCTGTAAACGATAGAAAGGCAGTTTTCAAATCTGTATTTTGAATTTTAGATTTATGCAGGTCATTCGAAATATCTATTTCAAATGTTCTCTTTCAATAACTTAGCTGTGTTATCGCAACCTTTGTCTTCTTTTCTTTGTTATAATTTATTTTGGAAAGGTGGAGATTTACGGATGGAATCAGGCTCTCATCAGTTTTTGGGCATATGGAGTTGATGGTATTATCTTAAGGCCTGTCCATTTTCCTTGTTTTGGGGGAAAATAATATACATCTATGTTGAATAGAAGTCGAGATATGTGGGATTGAAGGAGGTGAAAGTCATCTGGTTTCAGAGGTAAAATTAAAGAGAAAATAGCCGTCAAAGTTGA